TCACACTATCACACTAAATATTTGAATAGTAGCATATTTGTGTGTGTATATTGCTTACTCCGTTCCAGGGTTTCCTGTGGCCTCACACTTCATGGGGAAGCTCTCTTCGAAAGGAAAGGCGACCAGAGAGGCAGGTGAGTGCTCTGTAATTGTGGGCAGCTGCTCCACTAGACAAAGAAACAGCCAGAGAGAGGAAGTGCTCAGTAGATTATGCATATAGGAGGAAAAATGGTGGCATGCAAATGTGAAATGGCTTTGGTTCAATCGTAATGACTTTCCACAATCAGATCAACTGTTTTGATCAATTAGATATTGAATCATTGATTGTGTTGTTGGCCAAAGAGTGAGTTGTTATGAGGCAATGGCAAATGATCCGGTCAAATAATGTCAATGAGAGTTTGTTTGTGGTTTAGATCAGGAAGAAACTAATGGCTAATACAGCTTGAGTGTAAAATTGGATATGCATAATCAAAATCATGATGGAGTGATGGTATGAGTTACAATTTGTAAAGTGGTTTGCTGGCTCTGTTGTTGGAAGTTGTCCACTATGCACAGAAAAAAAAACACACTCTAAAAATCATCTAAATGCTTTGTTTTGAAGGAACATTCTTGTTAACATTTCTACTCTAGTAACCACAAGGTTTAATTTGTTTCTATGAAATATAACTAATTTGAATGAGACTGTTCACAAAAAGTAAAATTTTTTATAAGATTGTATGATAAAAGAATACCATTCAGGATGTACCATAGTAGTACAATAGTATCCAAATACCATCAAGTACCATCAAGGGACTTGAATATGATAATTATGAAGTACCATGGTATCCCCATCTGATACCATAGTATCAAGGCAGTAGTACTTCATTGTAAATGTCCCCAACAAAAGAGCAAATCTCTGCATTTATGCATGATTTTTAAAAGAAATCTCATGGTTGGTGGATGATAATGGCCTCTATGGATGGAAGTTTCTAGTTCTATGGATGGGGTGGCATTGCAAACTTACTGTTCACACGTGCTAAAACTAACAAATCCACCGCAGCAAGAAGAACACGAAGAACACAGAGAAACAAACGTGCAGGGATTTGTTAGAACCATATAGATATTACTTCTGTTGAACTGCTAACAAATAATTAATTGACATCAAACAATTAAATACAGGTCCATGTTTGATTAAATTAACGCAGAAGAGAGAAAAAAATAAGAACATTGTGTTCCCCTAAGATATCTTTCAAGCCCTAAAGATATATTGTGAATAATTTAACAGCAACAAAATACACTTTTATTTGGTTTCCATGGAAACGGTGAAATACATAGCCCTAGCAATAAATTATACCTGCTCTCAGCTTGAGTGAATCTGCATACAAACACCTAGTTTCAAACAGATTAGTTGTAAGAACAGTGTGCTCACTATGGAAGTCTGCTTCCCTCTCTGAGTAAAAAATAAAGCAATTATGTGATAAATGTAAAAAAATAAACAAAAAAAGTGTGATCGAAAAAGTCACAATTATGCATTTTTAATATACTGTATGCAGTCGTGTTTGTGAGATGTTAAGTCCCAATTGACATGAAGCCACAATTGTGAGTTATAAAGACAATTGTGAGAAATAAAGTGGCAAATGTGAGATATAAAAGCGATTGTGAGATATAAAGTAGCATTTCAGAAACTGCCTGAAAAAATTTAATTGTGGGACATAAATGAGACATGAAATCACAAATAATATGAATATGAAGTCTCAGTTGTGGGATATTGTGAGATAAGTCACATATGATATATAAAGTCGCAACTGAAATTATATGAAGTTGTAATTTCTGCAAATGGAATAACAATTTAGTTTCAAAGTCGCAATCATGAGATAATTTCACAATTTTGAGACAGGATGTTGCAACTGTGAGATATAAAGTAGAATCTGTAAGGAATTAAGTAACAATTAAGTTGCAATTTTGAAAATAAAGTTGCAATTATGAGAAATGAAGTCACATTTTTTAATTTTTTAAGGTGAAAACAGGCTTCCATAGCTCAATGTTCTTCCAGAAAGCATAAATACAGGCCAGATTGTGCACACAGCAAACAATTAAACAAACAGTACTGAAAATCTTGTCATATAAACAGGTAAGACATTACTAGAATACTGCAGAAGAAAATACATAGAACAGGAAGTCATTTATTCAACTTACCTTCAAGTGGAATATCCAGGGCATTACTCTGATACCTGCAGCTCATATTAAGGCAAGCACCCAAAAGGATGAGGATTTTCCGTAGTAACCGCATGACTGGCCAAAGCCTCGGAAGAGAGCGGAGGATGACAAGGAATGCTGCAGTTTGCCAGGAGTCAGTGCATCTCACTCCAACAC